TATGATCCATGTTAATTGCATATTATTTTTTTGCGGATACAAGAACCTCAAACACTTGGAGTAAGATCGAAGTGGTAATAAAATGTGCAATGCACATAAAACATACAGTAAGTCCATATTCAATATTTCAGGAATAAAGATATTATCCTATCGAGCGTGACTATTTAGTAGTGTCGTGTATGTCATCGTTATAAATAGTGCAAATTAATTATTGTAAGTTTTATTAATTATTGTAGGTTTTATTAAGTATTGTAGATTTTATTAATTATTGTAGGTTTTATTAAGTATTGTAGATTTTATTAATTATTGTAGGTTTTATTAAGTATTGTAGATTTTATTGATTATTGCAGGTTTTATTAAATATTGTAGGTTTTATTAATTATAGCGTGTTAAAAATTAGTATAAATAGTTGTTATAAATTAATTAGTGTAGGTTAAAAATTAGTGTTAAATAGTTATAAATTAATTATTTTGAGTGTTAGTTTTGTGTAACGTGTACAATGTTAAACCCAACGGAGCAACCGCTCGCGGGTGTAATTAATCGCGCAGTGTGTGAACATTTTTCGCGGTCGGGACAATCGCTCAGTGTGTGTGGAGACTTTTTGCCGACTTCTGTGGTGTACGACTTCTGTGTGTGTGATACGTGACAACTAGAGGGGGCATTAACCCTCTCTACTCGATAATATTCGTTAGAAGATATTTACATTTTTTGCGAATTTTATCGAGTAATCAGAGTTAACGCGATACAGGTGGATTCGACTCAAATACCGCGGACACAAGTTATCGACATCTTCTACGGGGTAAGTAAACAGCTGTTCTACCGACTTTTCCTGCACGTTGTTGAGTCTTTAAAGTGACTGTATGCCCCTGATGAGCGGTGATCCGTTGACACTCCGTGCGCGCGGATTGCTATGATTTGGGTCAATTTTTAAACGCTTATAACTAACAAAGGAAGTATTTTTCGCAATTTCGTTATTCTTGATACGAATTGAAAAGAATCTGTTTTTTTTATCGTTTACACGAGACGACCCCCTTAAATATTTACCCAAAACTCTTACCTCTTCACTAATGGAATGTCCATTTTCCTCTTGGATTCTAACAAAACGATTTATAACAGCACTTAATCCAGGAGAAAGATGTCGGAAGTATTTATGAAATCCACAACGAACCGCCAACGAAGCAAATATTGTATTGTTAACTAAGGCTGATCGTAAATCTGTTAAAGCACCTGGTGAATGCTGTCGGGAATCTTCATATAAATGTCTTGTTATTAAATAATCTGGAATCATAAATTGCTATATTTTACATCCAAAGACATAAAAATATGCATATTTCTCCGTGTAAGTATCGCTATAAAATTTCATAATTCACGAATTTAACGACTGCACATAAATTATAAAAAAAACACGAATATAACTTTAAAGTTGTATGATATGGTGTACTATAATGCATAATTGTGACCGATTATTTTTCTACTTCTATTAATAGATGTTCATCACAAGTAGAGTATAAATTTGTTGTATGCGCGAAACTCAGCACCCCACGCGCGTAGTCATCAAAGACGATCTAGACTTTAACGCCTCGTCTATTTTGAGCCGAGCTTCAGCAGCTTGTTTTTGTATTTTGCCGGCACGGAAAAGGACAGCGAGCGAAGAAGAAAGAGGGACTGAGCGTCGAGACATCGTCAAAGGTTTAAGGTGGTTCATACCTGACTCTCTAGTCAATAAAGCATAATATTACTAATTGGTACTAAACACCCACTAATACATTTTAATAGCGTATAAAAATGATATCTATGAATTTCAACGACATTTCCAATGATCATTCTTTACTATATCATAAATCAAAAATATATTTTAATTAGTCGTATGACTCCACTGTGTTCGTTTCTGGTACATTTGGCAGCGTTGATTTTGCACGTATATATACAGGGCAGGGTGTAACAAAAATGTTGAAGGACCTGGAAATTGGAGACTCCTGAGGTGATTTGAAACAAGTATTTCCTTAGCAAAAATGTTATCCGAGGCTTTGTTAACGAGATATTAACGAAAAAACTCGACTAATCAGAGCGCGAGTCCGAACCGGCCGAGCTCCCTACCAATCGCAGCGCGTAGCCAACGCTACCGCGGGAGCTCGGCTGGCAGACTCGCGCTTTTTGGTCGGGGTTTTTCGTTAATATCTCGTTAACGAAGCCTCGGAAAAACATTTTTGCTAAGGAAAAACTTGCTTCAAATCACCTCACGAGTCTCCCATTTCCGGGTCTTCCAATATTTTTGTTACATCTTGTATAAGAAAAAACAAGAACAGGCAGTTAGCTAAATAACTTTGCTAGAGTAGGTACTTGAAGTAGCGACGGAGCCGCGCTTATAGGAATTTATATGTAAAACTTGTCCCCCCATTGGCTCTTGAGGCACGTTATCCCGTTATTTGATCAAGCCCATCTTTTACACTATTACATTTTTATGAATTGTAATTGTAGAGAATCGAACTAAAAACATTCAACAACAAATTTAGCGCCATCTATAACTAAGGTCTGAAGAAATAGCTATTTGATGTACATACTTTTTTCTAAATAAACAGTTCTGTTGTAAATACTGGTAATGATAAGAATGTATAAAAGAACGAATTACTAAAGTTTCAAACGACCGCAGAGAACATTTTTTAAGTAGATTGCAAAATCGTAAACACTGCTCTTTATAATCGCATTACTATATTGTATAGCTAACTGTATACAGTACTCCTTTATACAATCGCGTCATGCAGTTTATGTACTACAACTACAGAAGACAGTGAATAAAATTTTGCATTCATTTTGTTGACTACCAAGTGTTTGTTCGACTAATGAAGGTAACGAGAAAAAGAGATGAACGAGTGAAAGAAGATAAAAGCTTTAGAAAAATTTTTTTGAAAGTCAGTGGAGAGTCAACAAATTTCCGAGCAACACTTACACCACATTTCATGGAAAATCTTGCACATATAAAAATACAATGAAGTCTATTTGTTACCTAGAACTGCGTCTCCAAGAAATTCTAAACGTTGATAACAATCTGTTAGTCTATTGGGTTGATACGATGCATGAGTAAATGCTTGTAACAGGTAACTACTATCACGAAATTTATATTTTATGCTCCATTCTAACTCATCATAACCATCAAGCAACAATTTCAACTCTCGTTCTGGATCAGGAATGTGCCGAAGTAACGGATTTTGTGGTTCCTCTAGTGTTCCATAACGAATCTATAAAAGCAAACTTTTTTAAGATCTCTTTCCGAATACGAGGGTTGTCTAAGAAGGTACTACTGCGCATATATTTTCAAGATGTAGCTTATTGTTTATACTTTCGAACGTCGTGTTGTTCGTTGCTAGTACGTTCTTTCAATTTTATGTATAAGTTGCTGAAATGGAACTGTTATTACGGGGTGATGATTTTATTGTACTATTTTAACATCGTGTAGTTATTCGTTTTGATAGCGAAAAAAGTACCTGTTCGTAAAATTTATGAAGAATTGACAGCAAGAAGTACCTGCAGTGGCAAGAGTGTATGCAATTGAATATATAATTAAATATTTCTATAAGATATTTAAGCTTTCAACCTAATCTATTTACAAGAACACTTGTTACCTTACTTTCCAAACAACCCTCATACTATGTAATTCAAAGTTATATTTTTAATTAGCTTTAATTAGTTATAATTACCTGTGCCCATGTTGTTTGGCCTTGTTCATTTGTTCCTTTTATATTAGGTGTACTACCAGGAATTCTTTCTTCCGGTTCTGTTTCTTGTACTATACAGACTTCCTCTGTGGGTAAGACATGAATCCCTAACCAAGCCATAAAGAGTAGCGCACCCCTAGGACCACAAGCAATCAAGTATGATCCAATCAATGCCTCCACACAATCTGCGATACTTTTATCAGGAATGCTATGTTGAGTGATTAAATTGTAAGGTATAAAGCAACGAAATTTGTCTAAATTGTTCGAAAGTATAGTTTCATTACGATTAAGTTCACTCTTCATGATGCCCAATTTTTGTTCGGTTTCTCGAACAAGTTGACTTATATCAGTAGGATTTACAGTTTGTAAAACTGGAATTCCGGCTTGGTTCCATAAAGCAGAGGGAATACCAGATTCAATTAATGTTTGCTCGAGTTCTTTTGGAACATAGTAACAAGGGGGTAACCAATTGTCATGTGGTTCAAACTTTGTGGCAATCATGCTCTCACCTAACATTTTTTGTCTTCCTAATCTATATAAATTTAAGTTGCTGACCTAAAAATTGGTATTATGATTAAAGACATAAATAATTATATCAAACAGAAATCACTAAAATTGTATATTTGGATACCTGCTTAGATCTTAAGTGACTAAGTTTGCCTTCATGAATATTGTCATATGTACAATACAAGTAAGTAGTTATAGCATACTTTAAAAATGAATCTCCAATAGTTTCTAACCGTTCCAAATTAATGCCGTCGTTTGCATTGGACATAGTCAAAGCTTGTAATATTAGACTGGGACTTGGTCCTGGATGATTTTTTAATTCAGGTTGATAGTCAAAACTAAAAAGATTACTATCCAAATTATGTGTAAAATCTACTTTGTTAGAATCTTTTTTTACTGGTTGTAAATTGATGGTATTTAATATTTCTTTACTGAATCTATCAACAATTGTTTCTATATAAGCTTTGTGCTTACAATCCGACTTGATTCCTTCAGATAATCCATTAACTGAATTCTTTCTTGTAATTACAATATCGTTATTACAGGATATAAAAGATCCATTTTCCATTATTTTCTGTTCTTTGATTTTAGTAAATTCGTAATGAGATTGTCTATGCTCTTCAATTAACGATTCTTCGTTCTTCTTTGTATATGTCCATAAACTGTCATCCGCTCTTTTTTCGATTTCTAATAGATCCAAAATCTTTTTATTGATTTCTTGTTTAGACATTTGTTTCTCATCTTCTACAGCTTCAGCAACGTTTTCTCCCACATACGATATACGCAGTCCCCTGTTTTCGTCTTCACTTTCATCCGAAGTATCAACAAACCCATCACTATAAATATCATCTGATTCATAGCCATCAAAATCTGACTCACATGCGGGAGAACCATATCGAATACCATTCCAATTAAAATCATTTGATAAGACATTTAAATCGTTAGTTCCAAATTCTATCGAGTTCACTGCCATATCATTTGACCAAGTACCAATTTCAAATTCATTTTCATCGTTTGATATTTGTGGTTCTGTTTCTATTGCATTATCCTTCGTTGTTTGAATTTCATAAATTTCTTCACTTACGTTTTCTTTGCTATACGTATTCAAATTATCTGTCATATTTTCAGGTACATCTTCATATTTTATATCAGCTGTATTATGTAAAGAATTTGTTTGTCCCATTTCATTTTTAGCAAGTTTATTTTTTTCAGATTCTTTTGATTTTTTTAAAACTTCTGCTAAACTCCATCCAAAATCTAATGCCGGCCACTCAAAATCTAAAATATTCCTTAATTAATATCAGTTTTTTAATTGGACGCATAATTTTATGCATACCAGAATCTAAATTTTCTCGTCCTAAATTTATGGATTGCGCAACTTGACATCGTATCTGATTGGCAAGTAGTAAAGCATTGATTCTACATAAAATACAAGGTAAACAAACTGCTTGTCTCCATAATGAAGCTGGAAAAGGATGAATTGCGCATAACTCTGCAACAAGAATTTGTTTTTGTTCTAGATTTTCGCGTTTTGCGCGTTTTGTCTCCTCACTACTCGTAGGCAAGGCAACGCCTTTTCGATTTACGTATCTAAAATGGATTTTATAAGAAATGTACATGTCTAACTCCTATGTATTCATAATCATATTCACACGCATATCCATATTTATATTATAAATTTATACGTAAGTGTATATACATTAATATATTTATGTACATTTTTGAATATTTACCTAGGTGTCAAGAAGTTTAATCTAGCTGATGTATGATCTACATCCAGTAAAGGTTGAACAACATTTTGTATCTGTATACCATATTTTTTAAGATAATATTCCTCGAATGTACTATAATCATCACCGGGAAACGAAGACTTGGGATTTAAATTTGAACAAATTTCAGCAACGTAAAAATACTGAAATATGAATAAAAAAATAAAAGTTTAACTTAAGTGTATTTTAGTAAAAGGTGTCAAGAAATTACATGTCGCGGCTACCATAGTCGGATTCTACACCTTCAATTTGGTGGAGATACAGGTAAGAACGTTGCCGCAAAATTGACCTTGACCTTGGATTTGAAAGTCAAATGTATTTGTCGTTGCATTATATTCTACTCATCGTGAGGATAAAAAGTCTGAAAGGAACCATGGGTCGAAACTCAACCGTCTTCTTGAAAAATGCTGTTGAAGTTTCATTCATTTTCAAACTGCTTTTATTTGTAATATATTCAATTTGACTGACTGTGAGCCATAAGATACTTTGCTTTTCTCGACGAGGCATTGCATAACATTGTTTCACTTCTTTAAATGACCAGTGTCGACCCCAGATCGTTGACGTTCAGCATTCGATAGTTCGAATCTGCTGCTTCGCCAATAGCATGATATTTGAGTTGTATGTATATGACTGCGAGATTCAATATATTACAAATAAAAACAGTTTGAAAATGTATGATTCTTTAACAGCATTTTTCAAGAGTTTTTATCCTCATGATGAGCAGAACATAATACAATGATAAAAACATTTGACCTTCAAATTCAATGTCAAGGTCAATTTTGCGAATCGAAGGTGTAGAATCCGGCAATGGTAGCCGGGACATGTAATTTCTTGACAACCTGTACATTATAATATAATACATTGTACTAGATATAACTAATTACCTGAGGCTGATCCTGACTTCTATACCAAGGCATAATCACTGCATCATGATATTTGGATGCATCAAACTTGAAGTCTCGTCTGATCTCTTCAGAGATCTTTGTTGGCACTGAATTTCGATTTTTATATATACACTCCAAGAATTCCCAATCTACAATAGCGTTAGATTCCTTATCTATAAAAATATAATGTTATTAGTCATTTTCTTTAGTTAAATTAGTTATTTTAAGTATATTCATGATCACCTAATTTTACAGGTACAATCATATAAGAATTTTCAGAAGCATTTGGATCAAACAGCATTAAATACTGTTGTAATCTTAATACATTTGTAAAAGTATAATAAAGAAAAGTAGCTATTTTCTCTGTCTGCGCTTCGCTTAAAATCACAGTCTGTTTACTGAGCTTTAACTTTACATGAACTTCTCCGGACCTAGTATAGATAGGAAAGGGACACAGCTGCAATGAAACAAATTAAATATTAATGCTAAATATACATATAATTAAGCAATATACAAAGTGTAAAATTAAATATGTTTCGGTGAAATATATCAAAAACTAGTCTAGATTAGGTATGAAAGTAGTTTTTAATCAACTTTTGATTGATTTCTTTTTTTCTCTTTTAGATAAAACTGCGAAAAATACATAATGATCCGGATTGTTTTGTAAAACAGTGTTATATGTTTTAAAACATCAACTTTACCAGCCTATTGTTCACAAGTCGAAGAACTGTGAACCTTTCTCAGATAGCACATGACGCCTTGGAGACGCCCCTTTTACGGCTATTTTAGGTCTAAGGCGCCTTTAAACCGTCTTCGAGGCGTCATTGGCCGTTATGTGCTATCTGGGTTGAAATAAAACCGAAGTGATACGTATTGGTAAGACGTACACTTGCCTCTATAATATTTGAACTATTAATGTAATGTTCGTAAACTAAGCACTGTTTCTCTCATCATGTGTTGCTTGACATTTCAAAGCATACACCCCGCGAACTATACAGGGTGTTAATTTTAACTCGAGCACCTAAATTATTTCCGCTACTATTGGAAGTAAGAAGAAATGACTAAATAGGAAGTACATGGTTTTAAGGCGTGCATCTGGTGGTGATAAAATGTTTTTTATTTATTAGGTTTATTTATTTCTACTTTCTGCAAACTGAAGCTGATTTCTTCGCCTTCAAGGTCACTTCAAGGATATGATGTGCAAGTCGTTGAATTCACCTTGATGCCGATTACCATATCGCGTTATAAAAAATACATGTTAATATGCAAAAAAAAATACGACAACCTTAAAAAAACCGTTAAAATGACCTTCGCAAGAGTTTTTTTACATCATATTTAGTCATTTTTTCTTACTTTCAATAGTAGCGGAAATAATTTGGGTGCTCGAGTTAAAATTAACACCCTGTATATATGATCTCAAATGAGACTAATTGCTTGTCGATGCATAGTTTTAACTACTGCAGCTCGTAATCCAAACTCAATTTCCAGAAAAACGAAATCAGCAACCTAATCAAACTAGTTACTCGTCTAGGTGGAAACTAAGAAACAACTCCATGTTATCTCTACCTGGCCTTCTTGCATTGTTTATATGGTGAATTTCGCACACTTTGTTTCGAGTACTTTCAGTCAAGCTTTTATAGTCCCTAGATTAGCAAATTCAATAGAGCATCCCCATTTTTTTAACCATATCCCATTATCCTGCTAATCTTAGTAAAATAATGTCCCTAACTTCACAAAAGAACTCAAAGTCATTTGGACCAATTTTAAAAAAGTTGTTCCGTTTTAAAGGGTGTACGAATACTTTTGTCTGGTACTGTATGTATAATAGACTGCACGGTCTTATGATAGGGATGAAGCGTGACCGAAGGACAGAAGTAGCGCTGGTGTAATCCCTCTCTAGGTCATTCCACGCGAAATCGGATACCTTTTGGAGCACCATTTCCGATTTTGTTCCAATTTGGATATGTTGTAGTCTTTATCGATATATAAACGTATCTCGAAGGATTTTTGAGAATTTTTTAAATTGTTGATTTTGCAGCTGTTTGAAATTTAGGGTCAACGTTTTTTCAATAAATCATAACTATTGAACTAACAAACTGATCAAAATGAGCTGTGCGGGTACTTACGGTGGAGACATAAGAGTACCAAATAAAAATTATTTCAGTTTGTTTCGAAATGGGCTGCTTGCCGCAAATTTCGATTTGAAATTGCTGGGATCGCTCAGCGCTGAGCGTGGAGGGTGAAGGAGGATTCTTGCTCGAGTCCAAGGAACACACGCGAGAAAGTACGATGACAGACCGAACACTTAGAACGTTTATTTGACGATATACAATAACTAATACGGAACGAGAACGCGATGCGCGTTCGATAAGAATTTGTTGGTTGGTTGCAACAAAGAGAATTGTATGACAACGACGCTATGTGCGTGCAATATTGTCGGGCGAGAATAGTACCGGTATTCTTCCTATTCTGCTCTAGTCTGCGGGCTGTCGGTGTAGGACACTGCTCGAGCACCGAGTCCTTTTTTGCACAACTTAAATGCCCTGCTTTTATACTGCCGAACTATTTAAAAATTTGAAAAAATGAGCATATAGCCTTATGTGTTCTCTTTATGGACATATCTTCAAAAATATGGACACTTTAAAATTGGCTGTATGAAAATTAACTTCTATCAATTTTCATATCGCCAATTTTAAAGTCTCCAAATTTTTTAAAATTTGTCCGTAAAGAAGACAAATAGGACTATATCCTCAATTTTTTTTCAAATTTTTCAAGTGGATCCTACTATCATAATATTACATTCCTTTACAACAATTACAAAATAAATGGTTAAACAATATGTTCTTGTAACTGAAATACTTTTGATTAGGTACTGTTATGTCTCCACTATAAGCATTCACAAAACTCATTTTGATAAGTTTATTAGTTCAACAAATAATTCATTATTCGACCGGTCGACCCAATGTGAATCGACGCTACGTTCACTTCAATTAATTTTCATACGGCCAATTTTAAAGTGTCCATATTTTTGAAGATATGCCAATAAAGAGAACAAATAGAGCTATATCCTCATTTGTTTCAAATATTGAAATAGTTCGGCAGTATAAAAGCAGGGCATTTATTTAAAACAATTGCAAAATAAATGATTAAAAAATCTTTTTTACCTGAAATAATTTTTATTTGGTACTCTTGTCTCCACTGTAAGTACCCGCAAAGCTCATTTTGATCAGTTTGTTAGTTCAATAGTTAAGATTTATTGAAAAAAGGTTGACCCTACATTTCAAGCAACTGTAAAATCAACAATTTAAAAAATTTTCAAAAATTCTTCGAGATACGTTTATATATCGATAAAGACTACAACATATCCAAATTGGAACAAAATCCAAAATGGTGCTCCAAAAGGTATCCAATTTCGCGTGGAATGACCCATTTTGCTCGTACATCGCAGAGAGAGGGGAGAAAGCGACTGGAGGGCAATGAGGAGAAGGAATGCTGCACGCATGTAATGTCTCCACTACAGCCATAGGAGAATTGCCCACCAACAGCCCCAATAGAAAGAGAGGAAAGTTACTCAAGTCACTGTCCTCTCTTTCTAGTGCAAACTTCATCCCTACCATGAGTGTGTATATTCAAAAGTCCAAGTTCGAAAACATCGTGATCTCTGAAGATCAGTACAGATAATGAGTAGGTGAAAAAGGCTTCAAGACGAACGAGCTTATATCGTAAAACACCCCAAATTACACAACACGTAATATTAATGTTGATAGTTGTGTTCAAAAAAGCGCCGATTTTTCCTCTCACTTTAGAAACCTTTATTTACTTTATCCACTTGCTTTGTATAATCTCTATAATTTTAACGAAAAGAGGACTAATTTTTTATCAGTTGATACATTCTGTGATATTAAAGTACATACCCCTAATCAGCAAAGCTTTTACGTGTCATCTAAGCTATTTCACAATTACATATTTATTTTACACGTTGAAGCATTTCACGCCAAATCGATCACTTTTTGCATTCAACGTCAGGGATTTTGTTCAAAATGAAATACATATATTGTAATTCATACAAAATTGTGGGGGGTTTAAGGCCTTAAATTGCTGGTATCGCATTTGTTTAAAAAATACAGGTCGTCAAAGTTTAGAATTTTTACCTATTTTCGTGAAACCGTGGTGAATTTATGAATTTTGATCTCGGAAACTTTTGATCGTATTGAGTTCATTCTTCGTTTATTTCAATCTAGAAGATTTGGCCTATTCAAGCAAATTTTGTTTAAATTGAAAAATCATTTTTATAACATGGAAAATTATAAACTAGTTGTTGTTTTGAACATTTTTTCCGGAGTAGTGAGGGTAATTATACAGAATAAGGAAGCCACCTGTTATCAATGACTTTGAAATATGTTGTCAAGGTTATCATTCTGAACAACTTTTTGCTATATATATAATAGTCGGTTTGTTTCAGTTTTTGAGATATTCGCAAAACAAGTTAGTTTAAAGCTACATAATACTACGACAGCATAAAATATGCCGCCTAAATATTTTCTTTATCTGTGATCATACGAGAAATATTATTTACGTAATTTAAATGGTTTCAAGAGACGAATCAGATTGTGGAAAATATTATATAAGTAAATTGCAAATTTTTAGAGTAAATTTAACACTTCTAGAGTTTAAGGTAATTTCAAGGTCATCACCACCCAGTGTTAACTTCGCATTCAATATCCCACCAAACATAAGACACAGACACGATATCCTTTGGGGTCCAACAAAGAAACTTCTCTTCCATTTTTTTTTAGATATTAATTAATAATTAAACTTGTGTTTTGTGGGATGTTGGGTGCGTGGTTAACATTGAGTGGTTTACGGTCGGATGTTGGGTGCCAGGAACAGGTATGTTTGAGTAAATGAACACGTTTTTACTTCATAACGTATATATGTTCATAATACACAAATACTATAAATATTTACCCTTAATTTGAGAGGAAATCTTAACAAACACTTAGCATTCGATATACATAGAAGTAAACATTTTTTTGCGAATATCTCGAAAACTGAAAAAGAAAAACAAACGTCGTCACCTCGAATAATGGCTTAACGGTACACTTTAAAAAAATGTTGAGGCGTGGAACTTAAGTAGCATCAAGGGGCACATCTTATAAAATACGTGCTTTTTTGATGGGTGGAGACATTTCAGAAATTTTCCCGGGTCATCTTGATTTTTTTAAACCAAATTAACTATTTCTGTACGATAGATCAATAGAGTATCAAATTCTGACTAAAAATGTGTTGACCTTCATATGTCTTAAACCTAATAATTAACGAGATATTTACAATATAATCACTGTATTGAAATCGCTGTATGAAGTTCAAGGACATCAGTTCAAGTACCTATAGCTTCCAGATAGTAAGTCCTACGTATTTAAAAGTATTTTGTAAATATCTCGTTAACTATTAGGT